TAGTTTAATCAAACATTGGTTTGACACTAGAACCTTAAAAGGGAATAAGCATTGCTTAGTATCCCCAGGAAAAGAATTCTCACAAGAAATGGAAAATTTATTGGTTAATGTTATTAGGTCTCATTTGAAAATGAAAATGAGAATGTAAAAGATCTTAAAAGGATATGGGAATGGAGATATTTTCCAAAATAAAAAGAAAAAAATGAGAAAAAAAGCTCTATATTCCTCTAAAGCCTTTTCTTCTTACAATAGTTTTAAGTATTTTTTCCTGTTGACTTGCTTTGCTCTTTAAAGCTACCCATTATCCATGTTAAATCTTTGCCTATAGTTAGTTTGATACCTAAATCTTCATGTCTTCCTTCTTTTTGAATTTTGACCTTGTATTTTTAGCTCATCTTGAAACAGCATACTGCACTGTTGGTCTCTTGTGGAGTCATCTCTCTAGCATGCTTTGGTCTATGTTCCTTTGCTGTGTCCTGCTGTTCTTCCCATAACTTTCCCAGTACTGGCCTCTGGTACTCTTCTATTGCTGCAAGCTTCCCTGAGCCTTCAGGAGGAGGTGTAGCTCAGGAGAGCAGCCCTAGCATCACAGAACTCCCCTTTAGCTGTTTCACTGATGTGTTCAAAACCACACCAGCTTGCCTTCCCAGGCTTCTTTGGTGTTCTCATTCCTTACTTTAATCTGACTTTTCAAATTCCTGCATCTTTTTTGCTTGTTTTTGGTTTTGGAGGCAGGGTCTCATATAACACAGGCTTGCATTAAACATGCTAAGTGGTTGAGGCTAGACTTGAAATTGATATGTAGCCAAGGTTGGCCTTGAACTCTTGATTCTCCTGCCTCCACCTGCCAAATGCTTGGATTATGAGCATGTGCCTCTGTGCCCAGCTCTGTCATCTTTGCTCTCAATGTCTTGATCAATTTTGACTAAACAGCATTCTTCTCCTCAAATCTGGGATAGAAGACAGATTTGGTGATTTGGTTTCAAGTTTTAATGGCCCAGTCAAGCTTCACTCACTTTCAAAATTCAATAAAGACAGCTGCGCAAACCTGGTATTGAACTGAGTGAACCCTTCCCAGTGTCAGCTGCCCCACCCACATTGCTGCTATGCTCCTAGCAAGTACTTGTTAGCTGTTCTTGGGTTCAACCTGCTCTGGCCTCATCATAGATCCTGCTGCTCTTTCCTTGCTTCTTCCCTTTGCACAAACACTGGTATCAGGCTGTTGGTGTAACTCGTCACACCCACCTCAATTTTGAGATGGGTAGGATACCCTGAGGTCATGTAGTTTTGAAGTGAGTGTTGTCTATGAGTGTTATCATTTGAACATGCAACATTCCCCGAAGGCTCATGTGTCACAGGCTTAGCTGCCAGCTGATGGCCTTTGGAGAGGTTACTGGATCATGAAGGTTCTGACATAATCAATGACACATCTACTAATTAGTGGGTTCATAACTTGATAGCATTATTGGGAAGAGGTGGGATGTAGATGGTGAAGCCTATTTGGAGAAAACAGATCACTGGGGCTGTGCTGTGGGGAGACGGATCTTCCCTGGCCCCTTCCTATCGCTCTCCTTTTCTGGCTGCCATGAGTAAGCAACTTTCTACCTTTCCACCGTGATGTTCTGCCTTGCCACAATCCAGAAAGAATAGAACCAGCCAAGCATGAACTGAATTTGGAAACCATCACCTAAAATAAATCCGTCCTTTTAAATACTTTCTTCCTTCAGGTATTTGTCACAGCAGTGAAAAGGTGACAATGAGAATTCAGTTTTGCCAACTAAATGCTCTGTTTTTGTGACAATTCATAGAGGGAAAAAAATCTGTTATATTTGGACCAGTAAGACAGTTCAGTGGGTAAAGGATGCTTGCTGCCAAGCCTGATCACCTGAGTTCAATTCCTGGAACCCACATGGTAGAAGGAGAGAGATGACTCCTGTAAGATGTCTATTGACATCTAGTGCATAGTGCCATGCACACACACACACTGACTGTAGGGAAAACAAAAACAAAACTGTTGTACTCTTCCTAGAACCTACCAGACATTTATCTTAAAAGTTATTTTTCACATATTCCCCAAATGTACCACTAAGTTAAAGCCCTGTGGCCTACATGGCTCCACCTGCCTTACTGGTGGTTGGTACTGCCACGCCACCTCTCTTCATCCAGCTGGACTCCCACATCTCTGAGTGGCCCTGCTGTCCTCAGAAACAGCAGCCCACCACAGATGTCCAGATGGGGCAGCCCTTATCTTCCTTTCCAATAGTGTTTATTTTCCTTTGCCACCATAGTAACTGGAAATAGATAGGCTGTCTTTTTGTTTGTAGGTCACCAGGTTACAAGATGTGGGCTGCACATGCCCAGAGATGTTGGACTTTTAAGTTCCATAACAAGAAGAATAGGTAGCTGAGTGGCAAGAGGGACAGGCTGGGACAGATAGCATAGATTCCTCAATACCTACTTGAACTCTCCTTCCAGTGTACAGAGGCTGCAAAACAAAAACAAAAACACAACTCCAACCAAGAAAACAACAACAACAACAATGACAAGAGACAAACAAATTATCTCCAGTGTCCTTACAATTTAGGTTCTTGGTTTTATTTTGTAGACTGTGGCAAAAGTGATGTACTCTTTGGCTAATGCAGTGGCAAATTCTGAATAGAGCTGAGGAGGCTGGTTTTGGAGCCAGCTGCTGCTTGTGTCAGCTTCCTAGTGAAGGCAGAGGCAGAAGCTCCTTGCTGGTTTGCCAGATGGTCTGAGGAAGGTTCTGGAAGCTTGGTCTACAGTCTGCTTCTTCTGCTCCCCAGTGATTCTGAAAGCTACCCGAGACCGTGGAATAAATCACTTTCTCTTCACTATGCCCAGAGTGCATTAGGCTTTCTGCAACTGACCGCTGTCCATAACAGCCAGCTAGTGGGGAAAGGACATCCAGCCCCAGCAGCCCTCTTGTCAGGTGGAGCAGGTACCAGGCACCTAGGTGACTCCAGCCCTAGAAGGTTCTGGCAGGCATTGGATGCTTCCAGTAGTTGAGTGTTTGTTCCCCAAGGAGACAGAAGAAACAGACTACTCCAAGCACACATGAATGGCCGCAATAGTCCTTTCCATGTTCAAGCCATAGTCTCTGGTATTTTTAATATACTCTTTACATTCTCCTTGAGAACTATAAAATAAAAATGTCATTTGTATTATTTTACAGAACTTTTGGTGTTAGAGAAATGTGGCATGATGATTTTCTGACTTGTATCAGGCAAAATGCTCCCAATTTAGGATGCAATTTGTGAACGGTATGGTTTCCCTCCCATTAGCAGGCCATACTATCTACCTTAGTATAAATATGAACATAGCTTTTCTGTTTCAGCCATGCTTATTATTACAACTAATGGGGGAGTGAGCAGTAATATTTGGCTGTGTTATTTTGTGGATGCTAACTTGCACATTCAACTGCTGTTTAATGAGAAATCACTTGGCTTTGAGCCCTGCAGGCAACATGGGTTGCTTATTTTGCACAGCACTGAGCCTGTTCAGATGGGTCATTTCTGCCAATAAAGGACAGGTGGAATCAAGCACAAGACAGCTGTTTGCAAAGGGCAAAGAATGTGACTGCTCTTCCCAGAGCTACCTTTGCCTCCTGCCATAATCAGGGACAGGGTCTCCCTCAAGGTACCTGGTCACCTCTGAGGCACAGACCTTTAGAAGTTGTGTCCCTTCTGTGCTCAGATTTCCTGGAAAGCAGCAGGCTTGGCCTGTCACTCTGCAGTGAGCTGCAGAAATGGCCATGTGTCTTGTCTTTCACATGCAGGTGATAGCACCCTCCTCATGGTCTTTATGCCACGTCTATAGTCCTATTTTTCCGTTTTTTTCTTTAAAATATTATTATTAATTCTCTCAATGTCACATAATCACATCTTATGATCTACACCCTTTTCTAATAAATGGTTTTAGATTATTTTAGGATTAAAGAATTACTGTACAGTAAGTACCTGGAGTTTCTACATACCCCGTGCCCAATTTCTTACAGTAGTAACAGCTTTCAATAGCATGGCACATTTTTTTTTTTGCAATTAATAGACTGATACTGATTGGTATATTATCGTTAGCTAAAGTCCATTCTTTCTCACCTAATGTCCTTCTCCTTGTCCAGGAAACACATTTAATCAGCAGGAGATCTCAGACATTTCCCGGCAACAGCTGTTTTTCAGACTCTTTTTTTTTTTTTTTTTTGAGACAGGGTCTCACTATGTAGCCTTGGCTGACCTGAAACTTGCTATGTAGACTATGTAGACCAGGCTGGCCTCAGACTCACCTACAGGGATCCACCTGCCTCTGCCTCAGGAGTAGCTGGGATTAAAGGCGTGCACCACCACACCAGTCTAGCTGACTCTACTTTTTTTTTTTCTTAGCAACAGGGTGTCCCTGTAGTCCCAGCTGGCTTGGAACTCATTACCTAGACAAGATTGTCTCTCTTACAGAGCTCCACCTGCCTCTGCTTCAGGAGTAGCTGGGATTAAAGGTGTGTGCCACCACATCCAGCTTCTACTCATTTTTGATGGGCTTAACCTGCATCTTTTCAGGTTTCCCTTACTTCACAAGAATCGGAGGCAACTGAAGGAAGGTATCAGCAGGCTATAAACCTTCAAGGCGGCACCTAGCTGCCATACTTGCCAGGTCTACGCTTGTGAATCCCCCATGTCACTGTCTGTGATGGAGAGCTGGGTGCTCTGCCTACTGTATATTTAGAGAGTTGCTGAGGAAAATCCTGTGATGGAGCAAATGGAGCATCAGTTCCCAACATAGCTGACCACAGCATCCAAATGGAGAATTTTAGAAAGCACATATTTTTCAGGCCTCAGCCCAGAAGTTCTGGCAAGAGGGCCCTGAATTTCATATTTTATATCTCTCATTTTTTAAAATAAGAATGCTAATTGTGAAAAAAGCAGTAACAAACTTCTGTGCAAGTATCTCTGTGGCAGGTTGAGTTGTTGGTAGTGGATGCCAAGGAGTGGTATAACCGGATCACATGGTAGATTTATTTTTAGTTTTTTAAAGAGTTCTCCATATTGATTTCCACAGAGGTTGCACCAGTTTGCAATTTCACCAACAGTGGATGAGGGCTTCCCTTTCCCAGCATCCATGCCAGCATTTGGTGTCATTTGTTCTCTTAATCTTAGCTATTCTGACTAGGGTTAGATGAAATCTTAAAGTGGTTTTGATTTGCATTTCCCTACTGACTATGGATGTTGAACACTTTTTAAGGTGGTAACACCTTTGTAAGGTGTTTTGAGAGCTCTCTGTTCAGATCCATACCCTGTTTCTCAGTTGGGTAATTTGTTTCCTTGATTGTTGCTCTTTTCACAATAGCTAAGAAATGGAAACAACTTAAATGTCTCTCAACCAAGGAATGGATAATGCAAATGTGGTACATTTATACAATGGAATTTACTCAGCAATAAAGAAAAACAAAATCATGAAATCTAGAGGTAAATGGATGGAACTAGAAACTTACAGTAAGTGAAGTAACACAGACAAAGAAAAACAAGCAACAAGTTCTCTCTCATGTGTGGATCTTAGCACCAAATCCTTATATGTGAGTGCATATTCTGATATAACTGCAGGAGCCAGGAAAATGGAAAGAAAACATGGGGATAAAGGGGAATAAGGAGCTCAAGAGAGAAGCTCAACAGAGGGAGACAGGAGGAAATAGGTGCTATTAAGGGGGAAATGGGGAAAAGTGAGGGGATACTTTAACTGGGGAGGGAATACGGAAGGTTATACACAGGGAGTGAGAGGAGAGATAAATAATGCTTAGATGGTACAAAAAACCAGAGGAAAATATATTAGTTCAAAGTTCTACTGAAAAGCACACACACACACACACACACACACACACACACACACACACACACACACGAGTGCATGTGTATAGCAGAAGGCTACATAACAAAAACCACAGTGCCAGGCAGGAGAAACCTCCCTTCAAGTTATTGGTCAGAGTAGCCTTCCAAGAGGCTCCCAAAATAACAGAGCCTATTGCTACAGCCCTTGAGTGCACTGAAGTGAGGGGGGTGGGGGGGTGGGGAGTGGGGTGGCTGTGGGGAGAGGGTGTGCACAGAGAAAGGGATCTGAATGCCATCAAATTGTATTGTATGAAAGCCACAAAAATACAATAAAATGTAAAAAAGAATGCTATTTTTTTAAATTTAGAAAATTAGAAATATTGTCCTGGTATCATTAACATAAGGGTAGAAAATTTAGAGAAAAACCCAAAGTCCGAAATGGAAACCGAGTGCCCCTCCCCCATGATCTATTCACCACTTTTCTAGGAACACTCGAGTCACCCCTTCTGTTGTTTCTTCTTTGTGTAACTTTCCCTTCAATAGGCTTCCCAAAATACTTCAATATAACCAAGAACTTGGAACCTAGGACTATAGAAGAAATGGAAATTTTTGCTCTGGGGAACAGAATGCCCTCCTACAGTGTGAAATTGCTTATAAAATTACAAAGCCATGTTCCTGGTCTTCCTTTCCACACAAACCAATTCTAAAGTCACTCAGTAGACAGGTATCTGCAGGGGGAGGCAGCCTTTGATAGTCTGGGGGCACCCATACTCCACTGGAGCACCTGGAGTGGATATCAAGCCCAAGTAAAACAAGGAGGGCATCTTTGAAGTTGCCATCTCTGCAATGGGTGTTAGAGCCTGAATGGAGGTCAGGCAGGGCTGGATGTGGGGTGACAGGAGATTAATTACATATGGGGGACAAATCAAATAAACACAGTGAGGAGAATGGGAGTCAAATTCTCACTGTTGGTGAAGGTGGTTAACTAGTATAGAAAAAGAAGGGCAGGATAGACTCTGGACACTGTAATTAGAAGCATCAGTACAAACTTACAGATTTAAATACATCGTCTCTATACTTACAAAGACACTGAGTATATGTTTCTATTTCTGCAGATATTATGTACTTATGTCTACATGTGGACCTATCTGTGTATGTGAATGTGCATGTGCTCTTTGAGTAGGCCTGGGAACAGCGACCTCGCAGTGGCAGTAGGTACAGCCAGTGCCCTGATCTTGGCTTTAATGTCATTTTCCAGTAAAAAGAATCAGGAATCCTTGAAGAAATGACTGATTTCAGGGCTAGGACAGGCAAAGAACACGATGAGTCCAAAACATCTTGTGCCAGAAATCAGGAAAGTGCTTTAACAATGACGAGGACATGTCCAAAGGGCACAGGAGCAGGCTGAAGGGGCTCTGTGAAACTGGAGACACTCTGTGTATCGAAATGAGTAATGGCAATAATGGATTATATCCCACTGAATATAGTCAATTAAGATCTCATACTAAGAAAAATAAACATGACAAAATAGAAGGTTTGATGAGGAAAGGTTATTTATATGATTTCAAAGTACCTTCCCTAAAATATTCATTAATTAAAAGAAAATAACATCATGGTAGAAAAAGCTCAGAACACACCACTTTAATCAAGTAATTGAAATAAACATCATAAGTAAAGGGACAAATTGAGCTTGCATGCCACCTGATAGGCTGCAATGAAAAGCACGGTGTAGCACTTTGTTGGTATTTCTGCCTGTTTCCACTCTGTTTCTGAAGCCAGCATTTACTCTGTTTCAGGTTTATTTAGGGTTTCTCACAGGGCTGTTGTCAACCTGCTGGCTCTAGCCACCATAAACTCAAGGCTTACCTGGGGTGAGAAATTCTTTCCAAGTTCACTCACTTAATTGACAATCCCCAGTTTCTCACTGACTGTTGGCTACATGCTTCAGTACATTCTGGGCTCGTGCACAGAACTGCTCCCAAGAAAGCTTGCTTCGCCCAAACAAGTGATCCAACAGGTTATTTTTTTTCACTTTAAAAAAATATTATTATTTTTATTTTATGTGTATGCATGTATTGCCTGCATGTATGTAAGTGCACCTGTGCCGTGCAATACCCATGGAGGATGGAAGAGAGCATCAGATTCCTTGGAACTGGAGTTACCATGGTTGTTTGCCACCATGTGGATGTTGGGATTCAAACCTAGGTCTTCTGTAAGAAGAGCCAGGGCTCTTAACCACTGAGCCATCTCT